AAATAATAATAAATGAAATCCGTGATAAATGTACTAAAATTAGAAATTAAGAAAATGATCTACGAAATTAAGATAATCTGCGAAATTAAGAAATTAAAGGATTTTATGTTATTGTGGTAACATTAGCCAACTTTGCACTGAGTGTAAGTTGCTTCCTAGCGTTAACTTCATGAATTATTCCATGTAAAACAATGCTCTTTTCTTTAATTAATTCCTTTGTAAATTTCAAACTCTTCAGAAGTCGTCGATCTAGTTGATCTTCCATTTCACGAAAAAGCCTTTGTTTATAAGAAATTGGTTTCGATCTTTATCAGTGTACGTTTCTGATTCCATATTATCAACACGGAAGAATATCGATCTTGTGTCCAGATTGTTTTTTTCCGATTTTCTCTTGATAATTACTTATGTACAATAGATGCCAACGACGTTTCTTCGACAGAAATCATAATTAGAATAAATTAATGAGACTTAAGACTAAGAAATAAATTCACTAGAAAATTTCATACTAATCGATAAACTTGAATTTCTTCACATATTAAAAAAGCAGTCGTTAATTAACAGAGGGCAATTTAGCCAGCCTTGGGATTTTTTTCATGGCGTCTAAAAAAGATAGTCTATGGGGTAATTTATTGTGAAGTAAATCTATAGAACGAAAACCAAAGAACAATTGAATTTATTGAACCTAGTTCATCTCATGTTTATTAAATGAATAAAAAAGCTTCATCCGGTGGAGTAAACGGAAGTTGAAATTTGTTACGGAATTTATTACGAGTATCAGATTGAAAACAGAAGGAAAAGCACGAAATTAGAAAGGAAAAGGAAATCACCAATACAAAACATATATTATTGATTAATTCATCAATGCATTTTGTGTTATTTTTACACATCATACAGCATGATACTCTCAAAATTGTTCTAATTATACGCGAAATACACAGGATTTCCTAAATATTACGAAATTCCGTATGTTGATTCTGAGATACGTGGGTCTTAAAATATTTCTGTGTTCAATTTATTTTAAAATCTTTATCTATTTAGAAACCACCGGGAAAATCCGTGATTCGGCTCTTGGGAATTGCACTGTGCTTGAAATACGTCCAAAATCTTTGATCATTGAAATAGAGGCGGAGTAGAATAAGTGTATAAACGAGCTACTCTGAATTTGTAATTTCTTATACGAACAGCACTTTAATAGTTGTTGACATCATCAGTGCCTTCGGTGGATTTTATGATTCTACCAAAGCGTTCTATGGCATATATTTTAGTATATTGCAATATCCGATTTATTCTTATTATATACAATTTATTAATAAATTTTCAGTTAAAAGGCGCAGGTCTCAAAGGCCCCTGGCGTTGCATTCAATCAATCCCTTCCAAGAGTTAAGAAAAACGTCAAAAAGAATTCAACAAAAACTTAGTTCGAATTTCCAAAAATTTGAGAAGAAATTTAATTCGAATAGCAACATCACGTTTTTAATTCATTTGATAATAAATGACATATTCTACATATTTTAAATATTCTCACACCATAAAATAAAAAAGGAAATTATTAATATTTCTTCTCAGATATCATCTCTTTAAAGATGTATGGAAATTCTTTTAATAATGCTGGTACACCAAGTCAACAACAATACCACCAATACCAACACCAACTTGCAATCACCACAAAATTTACAGACTTTCGTTTAAAGTCTTCGACAATATCCAAAAAGCCTAAGGTGAACCTGATACGATTTTCAAAACCAGTAGACTTGAATAAACTTTACCCCCCCCCAACAAAATTATGTCATTGGGATCTTAATGTACTACATTCGCCGCAAGCTACAGCAGCTTTGCCGACAATAATAATGCAAGTTCGAGCAGCGGTGGTGCTGCTAGTAATAAAAGTCAAGGGAAGAGTAGTTCAGCCACTAGAGCCGATATATCTAAAATCGCTCCTTATGGAGGTACTAAGCGAAATAAGCAAATATTGTTCAAGAAACGCACTAAGCAGATCTTTTTGGAGCCAAAGGAGAGCAGGAGGAAGACAAGCTATGAATTTTGAGCTTGGATAGGTGAAATGGAAGGGTGGAATCCGCGTTAATCAATATGTTATGTTCTTGCTCAGCTCCAGTTTATACTTTGCCAGTATTGTTTTACTGCCACTTAATTAGTTTGTTCTGATTTAAGGAAAGTTTGACAAATAATAAAATATTTATCTATACATCGCTTGTGAAATATCTGCATCGAAGGAGAAAAAGCCTGTACCAAAGGGACACACACGACACAGAAGTCTTAACCAACGCAGAGGTTAGAAGGTAACGTGAAATCCACATCAGCACTGAGGACATTCTCCACTGACACAGAAGTCAAAAGAGGATATGATAAGACGATGGCACGATAGTAACTAACAAAGAAAAGACATGAAATCACCTCAAAAACGTTTAGACAAGCTTTTGTGAGCGTTCTTTCCGGCTTGGTGGTATCGTTTTTAGCAATGGAAATACCCTAGTACGCACTGTAGGCTTAACTTTTTTCTGTTGGACGCTTGTGCTCCAGGAAGCCAAGTAACGAGCAGAAAATTAAGTCGTCGAAGTATGTGTCCTGATTCTTGCGTTCTAAGCAAAAGTGGGAAATATGATAAGCCACTAAAAAATTAGCTGGGTACGCATCATGGCATTGTTATGTTACTCGATGTCAAATGCAAATGACGGTAAAAAAAACAAAGCAGAAATGGACACACTTTCAGATTCATTATTAACTTCTAGGTATACAGTTATACCTCTATGTACATGAATTTATTGGAAACATCTCCAAAAGAATATGCCGGCGTATAGGCGTCGCTATTGTGAATTTCTTCAGATGAACATACGTAATAAGTGAATAAACCAATAAGCACAAAAAGTTCCAAGTAATTCTAATTTTTTGCTAAAATTCTATTAACTGTAATGTTTTGCAAAAAGAAATCTGAGTGATATCAAACCTCAAAACTAACTGAATAAAGTCTCCTTATACAAAATGAAAGCTTGAAATTATGACGTTATGTTTAATGTCAAATTTATCATATTAAAAATAGGATTTTGAACAACCCTATAAAACATTCAACAAATATTCCTCCAAACATTCAATATCAAAAGCTACAAAAGTTGGCAACATTTGTCCGATATCTGTATTGTATATGAAACGTTGCTATTTTTGCTAGTCATTATAAATGAAAGAAAAAGATAAATTGTTCACCTTTTAGAAAAAAATTTTAGCTTTGGATAAAGAGTAAAAATGCATATGTATAATTTTTATTGTAAATATTTCGGAAATAGAATATTGATGCAAAAGAAAAATCGTCTAAATTACTATCATCAGATTTAATTGCTCCTCGAATTTATACATAATACTTTCAATTCTTTCTAATACAGATGATGTTATCGGCCGATTTTCAGGACTTCGATCCCAACATTCTTCATAAAGTCTCATATAATCACTTTCGGTTTTCGAATTTGGAGTTTCTCTTAGTCCAGTTGATATTGAATACGCGAGTGCAACATCGAATTGCTGTCCTTCAAAAGCATATTTGCCATGCGGATTCGCAATTTCCCATAAAATAACGCCGAATGAATAGATATCTGAACGTGTATCAAGCGGATATTTACTATTTAAAAGTCGTTCTGGTGCAACATAAGGTATAATACCAAATGCTCTATTGGTTAAAGTACTTGCATCTGCAATTCGCGACATTCCAAAATCGGTCAATTTGGCGATCCCTTTTTGCACTAGGATGTTTTTCGAATGCTAGATATAAAAAAATAAATTTAATATTTTTCTTATGAAAAAATCATAATTTATTTAACTTACAAGGTCTCTATGTACAATTCCTTCTTTATGAAGCATATGCAGTCCAATAGCTACTTGGTAAGCTAACTGAAGTCTGTTATGCCAAGTTAATGTTTGACATTTTGCCTTTAGATATTTTCGCAAATTACCACCATCAGCATATTCTTGAATTAGAATATAATCGAAGGTTCGTGGATCTTTTTATATTAAATGAGTGAGCATTTCTTGATTGATAATAGGAGTTAATTGTCTCAATCAATAAAATACCTTGACTAATAGCCAGAAAACGAATTACATATGGACAATAATACATTTTTTTATTTATTTTAAGCTGTAGATTTTAAAATTTCTCAATATTATTATTAACTAAAAATAGTGTTTTGAAATTATTCTTATGCTTACTTCATTAACAAACGACTTCCAAAATTCATCTACATTTTCTATACGTTCCCATTTTAATCTTTTGCAAGCGACTGTTCCACGTAGATCTTTCCAATAGGCAGTAGTTACAATTCCAAAACTACCTTCTGCAACCATTTCTTTAGTTTCGAGTTCCTCATATTCAATGACTTTGATGAGATCGAATTTTAAGCACTCGCGCAGCCATTTTTCGTATTTATTCATTTTCGTGCAATCAATAACTTCAATAATTTCAAAAGCAGTAATATTATTAATAAAAAATAATATCAATATTGTAATACAATATCCAAAATATATTTAAAATATTTATTTACATCTATAAACAAAACGTTACCCACCTTCCTGATTCACATACGGCAAAAGTTTGCTCGTGTAAACGGCGAAGGGATGCGTTGTGTAACTTTCTTTGGAATCATATTCAAATGCTTTTGCAATTCTAAACTCCTCGGCGGCGACTATTTGTATTTTTTCCGTTTCTGAAATTCCGCCTTTATACCATTTTTTAACGATGTCGCATATCTCTTTAGAAGTTGGTCTTTGTAAGGGATTTTGATGCCAGCAACGTACAATTAAGTCGCGGTAAAAGTCAGGTAATCCTTCTGGTAATTCTGGTCGCAAACCATCGCATATATCCAAAGCCAAATTAACATCGAAATGACGTTTACCGAATGGCGGTTTACCAACACACCACTCCCACATGACCATTCCCAATGCATAAACGTCTGATGCCATGCTGAATACTTCTCCTCGGAAAATCTCTGGTCCAACGAAAGGCATCACACCAAACATTTGGCCTCCTCCTTGTCTAATTGCAGTACCCATATCACAGATTATAGCACCATATTCATCTATTAAAATATTTCCAGGATGTAGGTCTCCATGTATAATACCTTGTGAATGAATAGACTGAAGATCAATGCACATATCATATAGCATTTGTATACGGTACTTCCATGTTATTTCGGTAAATTGATTTCGTAGACAATGGCGCAGATCACCATGTCTAGCATAAGTGATAACCAAAAAGTATTTTCCATTTGAAGGATCGCACGTTATTCCATAGATTATATAATATCGAACCCTATATACAAATGAAAAATAAAAGGAAAATTTGATATAAATAAAAAAAAGAAAGAACAAATAATTTCTTACCTAGAATCTTTATTAAAAATTAGTAAGCAACTGTATTAAATATACTAAAGTGATATCTAATAAAAAATATAAAAGAATAAATGAATAAAGTAATAAAAATTAAAAAATGGCGAATATCCTACCTAAAATTTAAAAAATAAAATTGTCAACTCCTTACCATCTAAATATAAAAAAAAATAATGGATTAGTTAAATAAATTAAAATAGCTAAAATAGAAATGAAAATGTAAAATAAAAATCGTTGGTTTCTTACTCGCTAAATAAAGGATAGAAAAATGAATTAGTTAGATAAATTAATAACAAATCAAATTAAAATGTAAATGTAAAATAGAAATCGCTGATTTCTTACTTGCTAAATAAAGAATAGAATAATGGATTGTTAAATAAATTAATATAAAATTAAAATGAAAATGTAAAATAAATATTTTACTCGCTAAATAAAGGATAGAATAATTGATTAGTAAAAAAAAATTAATATCACATAAAATTAAATTGAATATGTAAAATAAAATTAACAATTTCTTACAAGCTAAATAAAAGATAGAATAAATGATTAGATCAATAAATTAATATCAAATAAATTAAAAATAAAAATGTAAAATAAAATCATAAATTTCTTACAAACTAAATAAAAGATAGAATAATTGATTAGTTATATACAAATAAATTTAAGGATTAGTTGAATTAATATCAAAAAAAATTAAACATGAAAATGTAAAATAAAATCGTTGATTCTTACAAGCTAAATAAAAGATAGAATAAATAATCGAATAAATTATTAGATTAATAAATTAATATCAAATAAAATTAAAATGAAAATGCAAATAAAATCGTTGATTCCTTACGTTCTAAATAAAGATAAAATAATGCATTAGTTAAAATAATTTAATATCAAATAAAATTAAAATGAAAATGTATAATGTAAATGTTGATTTCTTACGAACTAAATAAAGGATAAAATAACGAATTAGTTAAATAAATTAAAATTAAAATGAAAATATAAAATAAAATTGTGGATTTCTTACTCGCTAATAAAAGATAGAATAATGGATAGTTAAACAAATTAATAATAAATAAAATTAAATGTAAATGTAAGATAAATATTGTTGATTTCTTACCATCTAAATAAAGGATAAAATAATGGATCAGTTAAATAAATTAATATCAAATAAAATTAAATATGATAGAATAATGGATTAGTTAAATAAATTAAAATTAATTAAAAATAAAATCACAATGTAAATAAATCGTCGACTTCTTACCTTCTAAATAACGGATAGAATAATGTATTAGTTAAATAAATTAATATCAAATAAAATGAAAATGTGTAATATAAATGTCGATTTTTTACGATCTAAATAAAGGATAACATAACAAATTAGTTAAATAAATTAATATCAAATAAAATTAAAATGAAAATATAAAATAAAATCGTTGCTTTCTTACAAGCTAAATAAAAGATAGAATAAATGATTAGAGTAATAAATTAATATCAAATAAATTATAAATGAAAATGTAAAATAAAACTGTAGATTTCTTACGTTCTAAATAAATGATAGAATAATGGATTAGTTAAATAAATTAATATCAAATAAAATGAAAATGTGTAATATAAATGTTGATTTCTTACGATCTAAATTAAGGATAAAATAACGAATTAGTTAAATAAAATAATA